AACACTGTAACCAATAAGCAAGTTGGGAAGGAAGGGCTCATTCAGCTTACACTTCCACATTGTTGTTCCTCACTGAAGGAAGTCAAGACAGCAACTTAAACAAGGCAGGACCCTGAAGGCAGGAGCTGATGCAGAGGCCATGGAGGGGTACTGTTTTACTGGCTTTTTTCCCATGGCTTGCTCAGTCTGCTTTCTTATAGAACCCAGGACCACTAGCCAGAGATTACACCATCCACAATGGGCTAGACCCTCCCGTATTGATCACTAATTGAGAAAGTGCCTTACAGCTGGACTTCATGGAGGCATTTCCTCAACTGAGGCTTCTTCCTCTCTGATGACTCCAGATTGTGTCAAGTAGACGCAAAACCAGCCAGTCAGTACACCTTGTCTCCCTGAATGCCTTTGTATTGTTTATTTTTTATTTAAAATTCTTTGTTTTTATTTTGTCTGTATGTGCATATGTACGTGTGTGTGTGTGTGTGTGTGTGTGTGTGTGTGTGTGTGTGTGTGTGCACATGCCGTGGCCTGTATGTGGAGGTCAAAGGTCAATTTGAAGGAGCTGGTTTTCTACTCACCATGTGAGTTCTTGGATTGAGCTCATGTTGCTAGGCTTTACCTGTGCTGAGCCTTCTCAGTGGCCCTGGCTTTGTTTTATTTAAAGATCTGGGGGACCCAGCCTGAGAAAACTCTCTAAGCCAGCCGGGATGACCTGCACACTTCCACTTACCCTGCCAAAGCCAAGAAACAGAATTCTCAGGGTTTTTTTTTTTTTTTTACTGTATTTGTGCTGGAGAAGCCACAATGGGCTCTCAAAGGGATGCCACATATGAAAGAAGTGGTCCATGCCCATCAGCAGGCTTTAGAACAGCACAAAGGTACACATGGAGAGTGTTTTAGCCATAGCATGTCAGAACCTTTATCTTTGCTACTGTGACTCTAGGGTCCTCTTCTGAGTCTGGACTCCTCATCTTACACAGATAACACTTCCTTTTTTGGATAGTTACTGTGGAGACTCCATGAGGAAGAACACTTTAAAATGCTACAGAAATGTTCATGGGTGTTGTTTTTTGTTTGTTTGTTTTTTAATCAAATGGTATGATGGATGCTTCAATGTCTTTCCAGTCAAAGTCTTTCTCCACCAGCATCCTTGGCTCAGTGCTTTGATTTTAAAGAATAATAATAAGCACTTAATTCTGTGTTACACTCGCTGGTAGATTGAAAAGAAGTGGTTAAATAAAAGCTAAGCCACCTAATGACTTTCAAAAACTATGTGACATCTAGGAACAATCCAAGGAAAGTCCTGGGAGCAGTGCCATTTAGAGGTCATCGAAATTACATGGATTGCATTCTTTCGGTGGCAAATGCAAGGACAGCACTTACCCCAGTGTGTGCTACATTTTGAGTGTTCAATTAAATGTAATTATTAAAACATAACCGTCTTTAGCGAAACACATAGAGACCAGCTAGACTTACATATTCCAAAAATTAGCAGTGGATGTGTTTCTTTCATGAGATTGAATTTCTAACAGACGAAACAACACACTGAACCAAATCCATTAGCCCAGAAAAAAGAGTAAGCCAGGTATGATAGTGCAGACCTGTCAAGAGGATTAAAATAAACTGTTCCTCTATCTTTATTTTGGTACAATAATAATAGTACTTTATTGTTTCAAGTTCATCCTCGGCTACATATAAAATCCTGTCTCAAAAAAAATGTAAAAAGTGAACTCCACTTGTGTTTGTGCAGCTGTTGTGACAGGAACTAGCAAGCAGGATGCACACCCACGTCTTCTGCAGTCACTCATTCATGTTTGAGAATGGAGGTGTGGTTTAACTCCACGTGTGTTCTAGTCTCCGTGTGCCTAACACCAGAAGTTCATTAGATTTCATGTATTCATCATGCCAAAGTCCTCAGACAGAAACTGGGTTGGTTGGGGGAAAGCAGGTAATGAATCATATTCTCCATGTCTTTCACAAATGTGAAGAGAACAAGAATTGCTTGGCCTCGTCACTATGAGCGGGTCTCCTCATGGAGGCGTGAGAAGAGTCTCTCCCGCCGCTCACCCTTGTGTGTGGAGGGAAGAGCCTATCTTCTCCGCCTCTTACCATGATGTAGACATGGGCACCTGGAGTGTGCTGTACTGAGGAGACTCCATGGCCATCCTGCCACACTGTCTGGGACACCACAGTGTGTCAAGATGTTCTTGGGGCTGGCTTAATGGATCTCTTCTGAAAGTATGTGTAAAAATTTTTTAATGTCTTTTTTTAGAAGGGCCAAGAAGGAGAAGAGAAAGAGAGGTTGAAATGAGGATCACTTTGTCTTTATAACTGTGTAGGCATAAAATACCCCTTAAAAGGATGGCTGAAAGCCTGGACTCTAGCACTCTCCCTCAAGTACCTGTGATATTTTAGCAAAACTGGGATCTAAATGGAGTTATGGCTCCCTGTCTGACTCCACCTCCCAGCTTCTCTGGCCACTGTCTACATCCCCTTCCCACATGCCTTCAAATTCATTTTTCTGCTATTGCTGAATACTATATACATATCAGTTTCGATTATCATAAGGGACTCACCAGGATTAATATGGAAGACAGCTTTACTAACACATTTTTATCCCCCTTGCTTTATATAGAAGCCCTTCTATAAGAAACAGTCACGCTGGGCTTACACTCCATTCTGATGAGAGTGTCCAGACTCATATGTAGAATGATATACACACCCTTCCTGTATGGACACCCTAAGACATATTTTTCCCTCAAAATTGTCTTTAGTTCTGTAAGTGATGAATGGCAATATTTAGGGAAGGATCTAATGGGGTTGTAAGCATGTTTCCTACAGAATGTTTCTTCAATAAAGTAGGACTCTGTCACCTTCTAAACACACAGTGACCCAGTCAACTATCAGTCTTCCAGGCCCAAACCAATAGCTAACTGATGACTTCTCCTACAGGCAATGAAATGCAAAGATCCTCAAAGGCCAGCTGTGCCGACTACCAGTTTTTCCTCTCAGCTCCCAAAGCATCCTTCAGTAAGAGCCCTGTGATAAATGATGCGGTTCTTAGCATTTCTCCTCCGCAGTGGTAACATGTTAATCTTCTGTGACAGAGAGCACAGCAGGCTATTACAGGGGAGAGGAGGAAGGTTTCTTACCTTCCAGCACAGGCAAAAACAGGGGAGAACCAGGGAGGACTGCGTCAGCCACAAGCCCAGAACAGGCCCCGCAAACACGCAGCTTCCACCGTCGAAACCTTTCTAAAATTTTATAGCAAGCTTTTCCATTCATCGCTGGAAAAGGTGGTCTCGGTGAGCTTAATAGCAGACTAATACTACATTAGCTTTTCACAGTGTAAAAGCTACAGGCACGGCCCACCTGGGCTTTGTCTGCACTGTTGACTTGTTTTCCATCATTGCCTTAAGCTTAGATGGTCTAGCAAGCGACTAACGAGGAAATTAAGTTATGGTCTGCGGCATTTGTTAATTTTGTCAGTATCAGTGTGATAACTGTTGTGATGCTGAATTCAAGTTCTCTGGAATCCGGGTGCTTATGTTTCCTAACCAGAGCAGAGTTTTCATTTCATGGGTCCAACATGGTTCTCTGTTTGAATGAAGAATGGGGAAGGGAACGGATGTAGATTTGTCCAAATGAATTAATGAAAAGCTTAAATTATAGGCTTTCTTTTTCATTAGTGTTAAGTCAGGAATTATAGAGATGGGTAAGATATAAATGAGTGAAGGAGAAAGGGAAAGAAAGAGGCAAAGGCAGGAGGAGCAGGAAGAGGAGTAAGTAGGAGAAGGAGGAGCAGGAGGAGGGAGAGCAGGAGGAGCAAGGGGAGGAGAAAGCTTTTCACCAATTATTAGTGCTTGTGAGTGGGAGAGGGCACTAGTGAAGCATTTTACAGTAACATCTCTTTTTGTCCTCTCAAAACCACATCAGATATGAATTTAGTCTCATTTTATAAATGAGACACAAAGAGTAAAAAGAAAAAAAAAAAGACAAAAAAGTTAGTTTTGATTTGGTTCTGGGAAGGTGTTTGAAAGAGTAGTGTAAATGTAACCACCCGGGTCAACTGGCCAGAGATCTGATTCTCCTTCCTGCTTGTTGGGACCCCATTTTTCCAGCCTGGATGGTTAAATTTTCAGTCGTTTCTTTCTGGAAACACAGCCAGAGAAGCTTCCCTGCTCAAGGGGCAAAGACTACACACTTCTTCCTTTGGCCCTAAGGACCACTGGATTACTGGAGCTATGAATCCCCAGCCCGATAGCAATATTCACTGAACCCATCAAAGGTCGAAGTGGGTGTTTTAAACATATTTCCACATAATATTATGGGTTCTATAGTAGACAGACACCCCCCAAATGTATCACTGAGTATGTGAAAGATCGCAGGCAGTGCAATTTCTAGGAGGGATAGAAAGGTAATTACATCCATGTAGCATTCCCAGAGGAAGCTCTCCTTTTAAGGGAAGTCTTAAAGGGAAAGGATGGCATTATGTGAGCAACAGAGACTTGTGTGTTCACTTGCTTCTTATCCTACCTTTCCCCTGTGGCCTGCCTTTCCTATACTGCATGCTTTCCCTAACATTGATGTCCACACCCACATAGAACTCAGACTATATATGAGACCTCTTCTGTCCCTTTTCTTATTTTCTTCCCATGGCACCTAGAGTGAAATGACCAGCGGCCCCTGTGTAGTTACAGAAAGCACTCTTATAATGGAGAGGGGTCAGAGCTGGGCACCTAGAAAGCTATTCGAATAGTTCTTGAAAGCAATGATACAGACCTGAGCCCATGATCGCAGTGGTGCCAGCCCAGAAAGATTACAGTTGGAGTCAAATGTGTCCATTCAACCAACTAAGGGAACCCTCTCTAGTAGGAAAAATCAATAAAGCACCATAACAAAGCCCAGAAGAGTTCCTGTAACACACACAGCATCTCCCTTTCTGTTCCAGTGATATCAAGCAACATGTTTCCACCTCCTTTCGCACAACCATACATACTCACTCCGTCAGGAGCCAGAAGCCTTGAACAGTCTCTCCAGAAGTCTGTTTTATGTGGCCTCTCAAGTCTTCCACCGCAGTCTCAATGGCCCCTGGCTGAGTGGGAGAAGAAATCATTTCACATAGGGAAAATTGAACACACTCTGTACTTTTTTTTTTTAATATTTATTTATTACATATACAGTGTTCTGCATGTATGCCTGCATGACAGAAGAGGGCGCCAGATCTCACTACAGATGGTTGTAAGCCACCATGTGGTTGCTGGGAATTGAACTCAGGACCTCTGGAAGAGTAGTCAGTGCTCTTAACCTCTGAGCCATCTCTCCAGCCTGCACTCTGTACTTCTGATTAGTTAGAATGGCCAGCATCTCCTCCTGCTCCTCCTCCTCCTCCTCCTCCTCCTCATCATCATCATCATCATCATTCTCTTCTTCCTCTTCCTCCTCCTCCAGGAGACTAAGCCTGGTTTTGCAATTGGATATTCTGTTTCACTGCAAGGCAGAGAACTTGGTCTTGAACTCTGTGTTTTAATGCTAGCTCTATTGTGTGGGCCAAAAGTATTCCAGCTCTTATCTTCTCAAATCCTGTTTTCTCACTGGAATGAAAATAGCCATTTTCAGAAAGTTCAAAGTAGCTAACTAACTAACTAATTAAATATATATAGCATATATATGTTTATATATATATGTATATATATATATAATTTTTTTTTTTAAGAAAACCTTTCCAGATTCCAAGAGCACATGTTGGTAAAACACAAAAAGTAGCTTCCTTCCAGTGCTCCAACTAACAGTGCAGCTCAACTCTGTCTCCTAACTTTCACAAAACAAGTGTTCCCATGTCTGGGCCTAGTTCTATGTGGTTAACAGAATGGCACCTGTTCACGTAAATTCGTACCCTCCCTAGTCCACTTATTCTTAAACTTTGGTGTACATCAGAGCCTCGTTGAAACAGTTCTAGGACCCTTCCTAGTTTCATATTCAGCTAGCATTTCTAACACGTGTCCAGGTGGCATTGTTGGTAGGAAGACTGTACTTATAACAACCAGTGCTCTCTACACAGTTATTCTCAGTGCTTGACTGCACACCAGAGTCATCAGGGAGACAAAAAATCCTAAGCCAGGATATATACTAGGCCAATTATTTCAGAAACTCGGTGGATAGGTACATAAGTACATCAGGAATTTTTAAGAATGCATTCTATCTTATTATCATATAGGGGAATAGAGACAAGGAAAGACTAAAGGTGCTTCGGATGAGGTATGTGTGAGTGGTGCAGAGTGTGAGCTAGCTAAGTACTTTATCTGCACACCAGCTCCTTGGTTCCTTCTGCACAGCCCAAGCCACCCACAAAAAGAGGATACAATCAATACCCAAAGGGAGGTGAGTGACAAGATTCATCGATAACTAGTTCTGCAATGTGCACTCACTATTTGGCTCTCTGGCTAATAAACTGAACTAAACCAAACCTTCTGAGCCACACCGATGACCATAGGCTCTATACATCTTCAAGAAAATGTAGTCATAGCTTTTAGAGCCAAAGATTCTGATTCCATCATTTTAGTGGGTTTCTTGTTGAGCTAGACGGTCAGCTACTGGACTGGATGATTTTCCCCTCTGTGTCATTGTCTGCAGCTGGCTTCAGCCTGGTCAGAAAGCTAATATTGGCACTTCACACTTGCCGAAGGCTGTGTGGCATAAAACCAGCAACTTCTGGGGTTTCTGTCAAATATGCTTAGCACTGCTGCCACAAAAGTTTATGCTGATGTCATTCACTTCCAGGGACACTGCAGGCGTCAGACTACCCTGGGAGGGACATGTCCTCAACCTCCTGGTAATTCTCCCTTTGCTCAACCATATATCCCCCGAAGCATTCTGATTCTTCCAGGGCCCACTTTTCAAAGTCTTGTGAAATACAATGCTCTCTTTCGTGACTCAACACTGGTATTTTTCTCATAATTTCTTTACATAATTTTAGCCTCACAAATATAACTCAGTAGTGAAACTAATACTTTTCAGAAAAAAAAATGTAAGTAGACTTGGAGAGTAATTAAATAACCCTAAAATAAGCATTTTGCTGAATGTTTTCATGCCACGCAGTTCACCAAAAATATGTGAGATGAATATAATGCTGTATAAAATTTTAAAACCTTACTATCTTCCATACCCAAAGCAATTGCCAAATCTATCAAAATGAAGAATGATCTATATTTGATCCAGATACATCTCTGTGAAGTTATACCTCAGAAATTCTTGCACACATGCAAAATGGCACAGCTGACGAGCTCTTTGCAGCCTTGTATGTAGGCAGCAATAAATGAGGAACATTATACAAATGCTGATCAAGAGGGCGCTGTATCATATAGAATGTGTTCAGATAATATAATACAATGAAGGTATAGGAGTAATGACATATATTGACAAATGAAAAGAAAAAGTAAAACAGGAGAGGGTAAGGTAGGCCACCTTCCTTACGCAGAAATATGTGGCGTAAGTATATTCCTGTTTGCTGACACACAGCTAAAGTAAGCATAAAAAGGTCTGTGAAATATATTAATGTTGGTTTCCTTACAGCGGGAAAACATGAGATGGAAATAGAACACGAAAGTGATGCTTTCCTGTCTACCTTTTCAAAAGCTAAACACTGAAAGTAAGTGTGTTATTTAGGGAAGGCTTTGATGTTCTCTACGGCTCTGTCTATGTTGCCATTGTCTGTGCCATTCTTTTCTTTTCAGTATGAACATTGCTCATGCCCTTTTTAGAATATAGAACAAAATGTAGCCCAACAGAGAGATGTCTTTCCTTCACTTGTATTATTGTAATTAACATTTTGGACTTAATAAATTCAATCTAATAATTTAGAATAAAAATTTTTAAAGTACATAGGCTCATGTCTTAGGTATCAAGGTTTAATCTCAGTCATGCTTATGGCTCTCTGGAATCCATGGTAAGTCATCATGGTGTTCTTCATTAGTCTGTTAATTTGTTAGATTGTTGTGATAATAATTACTGTAACTGAACTACTGGGAGATACGATGAGTCCCTGTACATTTAATGGTAACAAACACTGAATAATGAGAGGCTTTACCATCATTTGCTGTGGATATCGCTCTATATAAATAAAACACTGATGGACAGTGACCAGACAGGAAGTATAGGCAGGACAAGGAGAGAGGAGAATTGGAGAAACAGGAAGAAGGAGGAAGGGACACTGCAGCCACCCCCAGGACAAGCAACATGTAAAGACGCCGGTAAGCCACCAGCCACGTGGCAAGGTATAGATTTATAAAAATGGGTTAATTTAAGATATAAGAACAGTTAGCAAGAAGCCTGCCACAGCCATACAGTTTATAAGTTATATAAGTGTCTGTGTGATTATTTTATACGTGGATTGTGGAACTACAGGGCTTGGTGGAACCTGGAGAGAAGCCCTCCAGCAACAATCATTCTCATTATTGTTTATGTTAAATAAAAGGGAAATAGCCATACTAGAATTCAAGGATCAAAGGCTCCGTGCAATTTAGCACTTAGCTCTGAGACTGAAGTCTAAGAGAAATAGGAAACTGTGATCAAATACATCATCCGACACAACATAGTGACTCTCCTTTCTCTGACATTCTATCCCTGAGTAGTACAGGCAAAAATTCCTTCTTGGGGAATTCCAAAGACTTGCATGTCTGTTCCGTTGCATTTCCAAGATCTAGACTAGCCCAGGGCCAGTGCTGACCCAAACAATACCCTTGACTCGGTCACTGTTTTCCATGTAATAAGCTCCTTGTGTGCAGAAAGAACCAGTGGTTCAGAAAAGACTTATCTCAGAGACTCTGGCTCCCACATTTCTTTTGTGGCTACTATGATGGCTAGTGGAGGCCATTTTGCAATGAACACATAAGTAAGAAAATTAGCTCCATTGGCCATGATCTGTAAAGGAAAAGAAAATTTGTATTTCCTTTTAAAAAAAGAAAGTTATAAAATTCACCTTATCACATCCTTGCGGCGGTTCTGTTCTCACAAAAGAACAAATCATCTTTATGGCATTCCTCAGGAAGTTTCACACAATGGAAGCCCAACAACCTCTTGCCCGGTGAGATGTTTATTTTCTAAACTAAATGGAAGCTCACACAGGCAATAACAATAAAACTAATAAATGTATTTGTTCCCGATGTGAGGGCAAGTCACCAGGAACCCTCGAGCAAGAGAAGAGGAAAAGAGAGAGACGATGTGAGCCAAATTAGTGTCATGGAAGCAATGACATCTCACTACACAAAGGGGAGTCCTGAACCTGCTTATTAAAGTCTCGCTGCTCACAATAGAACACAGGCTATAAAAAGGCCATGGGGAACCATTAATTAAATATTAAAAGATCAAATAGTTTTAGTCCCATTAGTTTGTATGTAATTTACATTCTCTAGTATAAATTTAGAGATAATTCTCCATCTCGAATCGCTTTCAACTTTCTGATAAGGTATCTGCAAATACAGAGCCCTACAGGGAGTTTAAAAATATCCTTCTCCATGTGGGCTAAGCATTGTTCTTTTCATAAAAAGTTGCTTTTGAACATCAGTCTCCACGACCAAGATGATTATCATAATATACCTCAAGTTATTAGCCTTGAGGGATACTTTTGTTTGGAGAAGGCATGGGGCCTTTTTTAGACATATCCAAGCAATAATAGCAGACACACCACAATGAGAGAAAAGGCTCGCAAATGGACTGAGAGCAAGGGTTTTAGACTTTTACTTCTGTGACCTTGCATTCATGTCCCAAGGTCACAGGTAGTACAGGGACAGTGTCAGGTGTTGTGCATTGCAGGTATGCTTCCCAATTCCAGCATGAGCCTAGGGATGCTGGTGACCTTGGTCAAGAAATAATTCCTTCAGGTCCTTTAGGATGTTCACTGGATATTCCCCCAGACCCACTGTCTCTGAGAAGAGGTCTGTTAAATTAAGTCAGAGAGGCATAATTTTCACATATAATGATAATGACCAGCAAACCACAGCAGGAGTTTAAGAGGTGAATAATTTATTTTTATGATCTGGTACTTAGATGTGTGATATACTGTCGGATACTATGATGCTAAAATTACCACTTATTTGT